AGGAGGGGACAGTAAATTGGACAAAAAAGTATAACCAAATGAGACGAAACAAAGAAGACTGGCCGTGAAGAAAACTTAGCTTTGTGAAAGGATGAGCACTATCAAAACACGTGGCCTCTCGAAACAGATGATAACACCCCTGTGCTCATTATTCCCGAACATTGCATATGAGAAACAGGCTATAATTCAGCTTTATTTGGGAAGGTAAACCCTAAAAGTTGGAGAAACATTGATGGAGAAAATGTGAGACGTTTCTGTGGTCGAAAGAGCGTTAAAAATTGCTTGAGACGATAGTATACAAAACACATCTCCTGCTTCATGGAGAATCATTTCATTTGCCCCAAAGTAAATTATAATAAAGTTCAGATATAACGCGCGCTGTCACTGGTTGAAAGAGCGTGCTCTATCAGAGTACAAAGCATAGAGCTGAGCTAAATCTGTCACATTTAACGGATTCTTTATTAAAAAACAAATGCAGAAGCCCTGACTGTGTTCTGTTCTCAAGAAGTGGAGAGAAACACTCGACTACGTCTCGTGTTCCTCCCCACACTTCTTTCGTGCTCCAGCGGGTTCCTGTGTGCTTTCCAACAAAACAGAGCACAGTCTAGGCTTCTCTATCTATAAAACTATAAAACTAAACTTCTTAACCAACAAAGCGTCTTCTTTTTTACCAATATACCAAGTGATTGTACAATAGAAACCAGAATTTAATAACTCTTCATTAGAGAAGAAACAAATTATGAATCTGAAGATTGAAGGGTTGTTTTGTAATTCAGTATTATCATAATTATTACCATCATCATGTCTTTTGTAAGCGTTGCTAGTATTGTAAGTTTTCACAAATATGATGAATGTCACACCAATTGTGATGCAAGTAATTATTTCGGTATGTTTGTAAGTGAAGTGTGCTAAAGAGCAATATGTTTTGCGCACGTAATGCACAACGGATGGTAAACTAACTATACGTTCAGGTTAGTTATTAATGTTTGTAAAGGTAATGACGTGATTTCGAGGGCAATTTGGTGTCGATAAGCACGAGTGAAATTTTAAAAAACAACAAAATTGGACGAGCCCGTAGGGCAAGCGCAATCAGTAGTCTTTGAAAAATTACAAGCGCTTATTACACTAAATTGCAAGGCAAATCAAGTTATTACTTGTTGATCATGTACGTGAAAAGAAAAAAAAAAGGCACAGAAGGTCAAGACAGACGAAATTTTGAAAGCGTGCGCGTGCTATTTGTAATTTGCACTCGTACTACAACTTTGCACTCGTGTTACATGAGAATTCAGTCGTTTTCAGCCAATCAGAAGCGCGTAGTTTTGTCATGTACATTGTTAATAGTGTAATTTTGACTCGTTTTGAAATTAATCTTCATTAAGTAAGTCATACTGGCCATATAACTTATTTGTAGTGTTGTTCTTAGTGTAACTGATAAATAATAATGTAATTGAAATAATGGGTGAGTAAAGAGTAAAGATCTGGTGGGTGAGCTTCTGAGTCTTATGAACAATTCCAGAAAATTACATTTGCCATTTTAAATTTCAGAAGCCGCAAATGAGTGGACAGAGAATATGCCATAATTTGGTGGTGAAGACGGTGTGGAGCTAGAGAAAGAACGAGTTAAAGGCCATTAGCGTAGATGCCCAGAACCCAGAGTCATTGTGAACTCTGTGAAAGGTGCGGCCACTGTGGACAACATGACACGCAGAGTTCAACGACCCGCGAGAGACGTTGACACTTAGATACGGAGACTGTTGAAAAGACAGGTTATGATTAGAAAATCGTCGACGTAATTGAAAATTGCTTGGAAACCATGTCTAGACATGGTGTAGACAACATCGACAACATAAGAGAGAGGATCAAGAATTATTGGAGTGCAGGAATGACCAGAGGCGAATATCCACGAGCTACCCATAGCAAAAAGGGTTATTTCTTCCAAAAATCTGGCGAAATCTTTGCGGCTGACAATGCCGAGGAGAGACAGGCACCCAACACCAGACAGACTCGGCATCAACGATAATGTAGAAACAATTCGTCTAGGAAAAGGACACTACAGTGTTGATAGACTCCATCCAAAAAGACTCCGGTTAGCGTTTGCTGTGATCACGAGGTTGGTTGCAAACCATAATCGGGCCAGATTTCCCTGAGCATTTTGAAGAAACGCGACTAATATCATGGAAATGTCCTCTATACCTGAAGTAAACTCAGTGCACGCGACACTAGCATATAGTTAGCACTAGCATAGTTATCTTTACCGTGACTATTCACACAAGAAAGGTCAGATTCTGGGATAACCTCAAAATCATTTACAAGGCCATCATAAAGAAATACTGAGTCGTGCAAAAGTTCCTTATCCCAAGCGGGGAATTTCAAGTTTATCCTCCATCAGGGATGAGCTACAAAAAGCGGAGTCTTCAAGCGGATGATTAACTACGCAAGCAGGAAGTCATTTGTCCGATTTTTGGTAGAACTAGTATTTGAATAATGCATACAAACATGCTTGAACTCCCAATGCTGCATGTTAAGGAAATAATTAGGGGCTATTATTCCAAATAAAACGCAACCCTTTGCTCGAAAAATACAATCGTCAGTGGCATGGGAGGGAGAAGATGGTGTCTGGCATAACGTTCTCAGGTCGCCTACGGTACTTCCCTAGCTAAACTTGCCTCTCGATTTTGTGGCACGATAGTCTTGATCAAATTCTATGATAGCCAAAAATTTCAGATAACCGAGGGCAACAACCTTTGAATTACCAAACGGAGCTTTACTTTTCGCGAGCTTGTCCTCCAGCTTGAATGGAGGAAGCGAGAAGGCTGCGAGGATGCCTCGAGTAAACATGAAGTCAATGTAGACACATAGTGGTGATCAGAGAGAAGGATGAGGATTGCTGCTCAGCAATATTGGGGATGACTCAGCGTAAAAGCATTTTCTGGCCAACAACAAGTCATAGTTCCATAGTATCCTCGTCGGTTACCTTGGTGAGAACAGACTTACTGTCATTATTTGGTGCTTAGCCAAAATTTTCATGAGACAGTCAGCAAATTTGTGATCGAGGCAAATCTTAGTCAACCCGTGATATTGCGGAATACGAAACGAGCGCGCATGATAACGGAACAGCTATAAAAGTTAAACGGTATCGAAGAGGTAAAGAATTCGTTTACGCACTCTTTACTCTCGCTTAGAGGCATAACAGTAATTATAGGAAAATGTGCATCATCATTAGGTTAAGTGATCTCACCAAGGCAAAAACAAAGAGATTAATTTTTATGGTTAAGTACAAATACTTTCTTTTGCTAAGATTAAGCTCTTCGCACTAACGAAATCACATGAGAAAATTTGATTGACAGACTTCAGTGGGAAATATTAACTATATAACAGCAGAACGTAAAACGCCAGCAATAAATTGAGACAAGAAATGGCAGTGACCCATCTAATTCATGTGACACATCTAATTTACATTGAAATTACATTGACATTGTTATGCCGGACGAGACCTTGAAGAGGGCGCCTCATCGGCGATATTTTGTTTTACACCGATGCAGGGTTGTTGGAGAGAGCAGTGGAACACCAAAAATTTCTAGGACTAAAAGATAGAGGTGTAACATGTGTTACATTTTCGCAATGAATCAAGTCATGACTTAGAATGAGTATTTTAAAACATTGATTTATAAAACAGGAGTACCTTAAGCCACTAATTTGCTCCAAAAGCTTTATAGTTGTTGACAGCAAGATTTTGCGAAGGCCCTTCATTACGTGAGGCTATAGGATATGCCTTGATTCCTTTGGTGTAGATGTTTACAACTATATCATCTCACTTTGCAAAATAGCAGCAAATACTTATGATGGAAGAGATGCAAATTCTATGTTGATAATAATGTTAATGATAACAAAAATAAATGAAAATGGTTATTAAGACAACAATACGTTCCCATTGAAGTCGAATAAGATTAAGCCACGAGTCAGGTCATAGATGTTAGTGTGAAACATCAGCACTTTGAGATCAACCGTAAACGAAGAAGAAGGAATGCTTAGCGGGTTCCTAACACGGACAGAACACGAAATAGAAAGAATTGGAAGGTATCTAAACCTCAGAAGAACAGATCTGACATATTATACTTGTGTTAACGCAGTGCATTTGTAAAACCGTCGCAGGCAGCGGCTTTAAAAAAGCCGAAGTGAAATTGCACACGTCATGTCATGGATGTATGGCCGTGCAGTACAAAAGGGTTTTTATCATGGTAGCTCCTTGGGAAATAGGTAAACCTTGTGCATGCGCTATGTCATAAAAGGGATTCACGGGAGCAACACCAAACATTTCAAATGGCTGATGATGTATTTTGGAAACAGACGTTCACCAATAAAAAACTCTATGGTGGGCTGCTTAGACTATGAGGTAAGGCAAAAGAAAGTGGAATGGGTTTAAGAAGACTTCGCGCAAGGCGTGATGATGAGATTACACACCATCTGATATTGAGGCAACCAGTATTAAGAATCGGTACAAAGGATGGAGAGTTTTTAGCTGTATTTAACATTTGAAGGACACCAGCAAAAAAAGAATGTGATCACGGACCTTAATGTTTGACAACTATTTTCAGAGAGATGTCCAGTGTCACTAAGACCTCGCTAGCTTGCCGACTTAAATTGAATGTTTCACAATGCATAGCAAGGGGCTAAACGTCCTCATTACGAGAGAACTTGAAAAAAAATGAAAACTTTTATCGGCTGACAATAAGCATTCCCATTTTCTGAAGAATGTGAAAATTATCTCAAGGAAGTATATGCGTGACTTTAATGAGGATTGACAATTGCCTGAGAAGCTGAAGGGCTACAGGAGAAGTTTACGCGATGAAACGAAGATTCCTGCACGAAATTGTTACGAATCGTTCTGTGGGCTTTAAGAGAGCCTTAGACCAACCATATTACATGGCCGATTTGTAAGCGCATGGTCAAGATGGCTGGATATTGGCTGACTGTTGTTATTACAAATTTATTTAACTTTTTCTTTTTCAAATGCATAAAGGGGTAATTTTCTAAAGAAACTGTGGTGCTGCATAGGTGGAAGAGTATAACAGGGTAATTTAGTTTTATCAACTGAGTTGATAACGTAAATTAGCCACTGTAAAGATTTTAAAAGCTGACGTTTCGTGTGTTAGCCCCTCGTCAGAGCGATTGACGAAGGGCCAATTAACGTCATCAACTCAGCTGATAATACTTCTTCACCCTTTTTGAAATACAATAGGAAGTGTCAACTAAGTTCTCTTGTCATTCAAACAATTGTTTTTTTCGTTTAATTTGCAGATTAGTTTTTTCTTCATATATAGATATTCATTCTTTGTGTGGAACCCTCATTAGCTTGGTTTTTTTTTCGAGTCGAGGTCTATGAAAACGTAAAAAAAAAAACAAAAAAAAAAAAAAGCTACTATCCAGCCATCTTGTCCGACAAGCCTGATCAATATAGGATTTATCATATGGAAAAAAGATTTCGCTCAATCATAATCAGAATGACTTGTTTACTAGAACAATGGGCAATTAGCAGCGGGTTTCAACACAAGCCCTCGATTTACGGCGCTTTTTAAATGATCACGGCACTAGCGTCAAGATTTATGAAGGATAAATAAAAGCTCATCTTGGTCACCCAGTTTACCTAGTTTCATCTAGATTGATTTTGTTCTAATTGATTTTTTTCATCCAGATTACCTCCAGTGATCCAGAGTGTGTGTTGCCTGCTCAATTTTTTTCAAAGCAACTGGGCGAAGAATAGATCCACAATCCACCTAAGAAATATTGGAATGAGTCAGTAGTTTGAGACTTCCTCGTGAGGGGTGGAATTCCCTAAAAAAGCGTCTTGGTTCAGATTCACAAGGCACTATCACCACTGGTTTGCCTCAAAAAGGTTGAGGATCGTCATCATGTTAGATATATTTACACGCTGCATTTGTGTGAAGTACTCGAATTTAAACTTAGTTTTTCAAATGCATGAATTCTTCACTGATTTTGATTTGTACCAGGGAAAAGGAAAGTCGCGTCTTTTGCAATGGTCAAAATCGAACAGCATTACCGCTGAGCGTCGTGAAAATAGTACTAAGAAGTATGATAGTAGAAGGATGTAAATGGTTGATGTGCGAATTAGAAATTATATATAGAAAAAGAGGGGGGAAGAGAGTTTTTCTAACTAAACTAGTACTGTCTGCTACATGAATACACGAATAAAAAAGCGAATAACCTGAAGCGGAGAAATATTTTATCGATATATAGTTTACCTGCGCAGCACTTACGAAGAAAAGCTGTTCATTTGTGTAATTCAGTGCAGGAAGTTGAGGTTCCTCGCCATTTTTCTCAATCCATTTTTTATAAGCCTGTAAAAAGACACTTTTTATTAGCGGCAACTTTTGACAGCAATTATCGGCTAAAAGGATTTTCCATCAAAGAGGGTCCCGGGAAAGAGTCATCGCATACCTCCGGGGTCTTATGTTTACAGTCATACCAGGTTAACAGACAAAACAAAGCACGGTAGTTTTCTGATTTGTCAGATCTCACGAGGTTTTGAATAACTCATATGCGACAAAAGTAAATGCCATTTGAATGCAAAATGCTCCAATATCAAAACGTTTCCATGTTTCTGCAGCCTAAGTAAATTAAGACACTAAACACTGAAAATAATATTTGCTGAAAAATGTTTTTTTGTTTTTTTAATGACGTACCATAAACGCTTGCTTGATAGCTCCGTTGTCTGCAATATTTTCTCCAAGGGTTTGGATACCATTCAGCTATATTAAGAAAGTATCATGGAATTAGGATTAGGAGACACTATATGCATGATGAATACCAAAACTTACCATGTTAAGGTTATAAATACAATCAGAAAGGCGGATTTTGTTGAGCACAAAAGGATTTCTCTCTCACTGGAATTAAAATGCTCATCTGGGTTATAGCAGAACAGTAAATAGTTAAAGACCTCAGACTTCAGCGGAACATTGTATGTGTTTTTGACTAAGCGTGAGGTCAAGATGGCTGGATATTGGCCGAATTTTTTTTTTCTTTGGAGTTTTTATGGACTTAATCGAGGTTGAGGTTCATAACATGCTAAAAAAGAATGAGGCTAATATCCAGTGACTTTTAACGAACAAGTTTGGTCATTTAAAAGAATTTATTATACATCTGTCTATTTGAGCACTTTCCTTACAACGAATCAAAGGCAATCTAAGGCAAGTTAAACGAGCAAAGCCTTCCAAAAATTCCTGTAAACAATAATAATTTTTTCAGCTTTTGGTTGTACATTTATTGTGAAAGAGATCTTAAGATACACGATGCTTGATGGTTGTGCGAAGCATAACCCGCAGGGACACCGTCTTGGTATTAGAAATATATTTCTTGGATATGAATTCAGACGTTCAGGCCTTATTCCCCTTTCTAAAAATGGAACTTTCATCTCAAAGTGTCATCGAAGCAAACAATGCATTTCACTTCATATTTTTCTCATTTTACTTAAAATCTTCGGTAGATAATCTGTTGCCGTAATGTTAGCTTACGGCATTTTGCGAGATTTACTTAATCCTTGCAAATGTAAGATAAAGACGCATCGGTATGGCCGTTTACTTAAATACCCTTGTTTTTTGTGGCTTTTTACTGTCTTAAAATACCGGGCGCTTAATTAGGATCTTGACTAGGATCTTCAGTGGTTCATATTTTTCTCAAACACCGTCACATTCCACGAAAGGAAAGACACAGTCTGACTCTTATGATCTGCGTCAAATGCACTCACCTTTTTCGCATAAGCTTCAAAGTTTGAATATTGCCTTATAAAACACTGAGATTTTTTTTCAAAAGCTTCGTTAGATGACTCAGACCACCAGTTAACAAGATCACCGTTCTTGTTGTATTTCCGACCTGCAAAAGAGCATAAATAAGAACAGTATACAGCTGACGTCAATGATAATTATCATGATATTGATAATAATTTTATAATTTTAGCAACAAGAGCAAAACGCACCAATACTTGTGGTAAAAAAACAAATAAATAAATTAGTGATAGTTTGTTTCACGATTTAGTCACTTCAAGCGTATCCAGTTTACCATACCGCCTGAAGGGAGACTAGTATGCAGTCGGAATGTAATGACTGACATCAGATGCGACTACATTGTCAGAAATATATGATTTTACAACACAAGTGCATGTATAGGTGTATGAACGACTACAATCTTTTTAAGGAAAAGAAAAAAAATAAAAACATGAGAATCAACACGAAAGCGATGATGATGATGATGATTGGAAGGCATGATATGGGTCTGCAGTCCGCATTTGTACATCGGAAAATTTCTCAGCTATCAGTAAGAGAGTCAGCCATAACCTGCAGGAAAATTATCTCTCCGTCTCGCTGCATGTTTCGATCGTAAGTTTTGAGCTTTACTTTGCAGATCTTTTTCGCACGTCATGGTGAATGAACAAGGTATTTCGATCTCTCTTAGGGAAACATTTGTTGTAATCAGATAAAAAATATGCCTTGTCTTGCTGAGAAAAGAGTTTCTCGGCAAGAATCATGAATCGTGTTCAAACCACGCATATTCATACAGTTAGAAGAAACCAACATTAAAAACGTTTCTTAGCTTGCATGTAGTGTTGGAGAATCCAACCGTGAAGAGAGAGGACTCATTTTTTTAAAATTCAATCCTGGTAAACATGACACAACCAGTGAAGAAAAGGATACTTAAAGTTTTATCCGTCCTCAACAGAACTTTCTAGAAAGCATAGAATAGGGAAACAAGCTTTTCCGAGAGCAGTCTTTTAGATAAAAGAGACAAAGGATGTATTACACGAGACGTTAATAAAGCAATTTTTTCTACAACCAGGAGGAAAGAATTCATAATAATATGTACTTATGACCGAGAGCCAAATATTTTCTCCTTCGATCGACCTAGCTCTTTAAAATGTTGTATGACTGCCGCTATTTCTACTTTTCTCCTTCTTGTTCGCATCTCGGGGCCCGTGTGACTTTCCTGATCCCGCTCACGCCATTTCATACGGCCCTCATACGAGAACTGTGCTCAAACTTTTTTCAATATCAGCTCCCACAGAGACATGGCATGATAGCCGTTATTTCGCAAGATTTATTTTGAAGTTGCCATTGTAATCATATAAATAAACTGAAACTCTTTTGAGTGAATGCAACGTGCCTTCTCTTATATAGGAGTCTTCCAAAAATGACAAAGCAAACAAGAAACGTTTAAAGAATAAATGGCTTTACATGTGGGCACCTGACTCTTTTGTTGTCCAGCCATCTCAATACCTAATCGAATCCCGAATCAGCAAGAGACAAGATCTTTCGTTCTCTGTGTTGTTAGTAACGGGAAGAATTATGTTCTTTACCATATCCTGATACCATTCACCCCTGAGTCAATTCGAAAAATTCGATCTCCCTGGGTGGTGGCCATATAAGTTATAACATCTAGCACGGATGTCCAGCGCGTTGGACACTCGTTCGATTTCCGTCAGCCCTACTCGCGTAAAAGGGGTAACATATTTACATACAGTGCAACTCGCGTTAAAATTATTCATTGGCAATTGTGAGCGTTTATTCTCCAAGTATTTGAAAAAAAGGGGAAGGGAATCATTTGAGAATGGTTTTGTGACATTTAGCATAATGCTCTTTCACATGTAGATTAATTGTCTCGAAACTGCTTTTTGCGTTATTTCTGACTGGGTGCCATTTCAATTACAATTAACAAATCGACGTGGTTTACCGTGGTCTTTACTCTTATCGACGACGTGGTCAAAATGTTGTGGACTCACGAGGCGCAGCCCACACTTAACCTCGGTCGATTTGACTTTTACCACAATATCGACAGCAAATAAAACGATTCTTTCAGTACGTGACCATTGCGAGACAGGTTAACGCGAGCAGTGTTATCTTTACTCTTATCTACAATGGCAAATTGGCCAATCAAATTGCGACATGACTGCCAATTGTGGTAAAAAACAAATTTCGAAACCGTTCATATACACGTATCATCTAACAATAATAATAATCAGGGTAATGATGAAGATGATGGTAATAATAATGGTGAAGAGACCAGTAGTGTTCTTAGCTGCAAGGATCTCCTAATTTCATCTTTCCACCGCAGTGCAAATATGTGAATTTTCATATATCTAAAATCTTCATTCACTTGGATGTTTCTTTGGACCCAATTCACTGACCAGCTCCCAGTTGGCTTGTTAGCTCAATTGGTAGAGCGCTGCACCGGTATCGCAGAGGTCATGGGTTCAAATCCCGTACGGGCCTGAAATTTTTTTCAGGTCCTATTTACAACTACTCGTTTCAGTAGTGTTCTTAGCTGCGAGGATCTCCTAATTTCATCTTTCCACCGCAGTGCAAATATGTGAATTTTCATATATCTAAAATCTTCATTCACTTGGATGTTTATTTGGACCCAATTCATTGACCAGCTCCCAGTTGGCTTGTTAGCTCAATTGGTAGAGCGCTGCACCGTTATCGCAAAGGTCTTGGGTTCAAATCCCGTACGGGCCTGAAATTTTTTTTTTTTTTTTTTTTCAGGTCCTATTTACAACTACTCGTTTCAGTAGTGTTCTAAGCTGCGAGGATCTCCTAATTTCATCTTTCCACCGCAGTGCAAATATGTGAATTTTCATATATCTAAAATCTTAATAATAATGGTGATGATTATAACAATGAATAGTAATCAGAATGATTATAACAATCATGATAATTATAAAATATGAAAATACAGTGATCGAAAGATCAATGTTTTCACGATGACAGTGATCGTCCTGACTCTGCTTTAGAGAACAGGGGCTGAGGTTTTGACAACTTGAGGCTTCTGTCTACTTACCACTTCTCAACAAATTGATGACGTAAGCCAAAATTTCAGAGAACAGGTTTTCTTTATTGCATAAAATGTTGTCGAGTTGCATGTAACTGGATGAACTGGATGGCTCTTATCAGATGAAAAACGAAAATTTAATCCAACTACAAACTTTGTTACAAAGCTTTAAATGATACTTACCATTGCTATCAAATCCATGCGTTATTTCATGAGCAACTACAATTCCTATTCCACCGTAGCTTATTGCTCTGATACAATAGAAACAAAGTGTTGAATAGTATGGTCATCTTAAAAATGTTTCTCATACGGCCAAAAAAATAAAAACGAAATGATTTACAAGACTTACAAGAGTACATGTCAGTCTCAGGTGAAGTAGAGAAACGATATCAGTAAAATTTAATGCGCATGAGGTTGCCTGATTTACTCAGATTAATCATGACATAATCTCACACGTGGCTTTTAAACATTTAAAATTTTTGCATATAGGAATCTCAAGCCAGTACGGGTGCTTTTATGTTATTAAAGGAAATTGTTGTTTTTCACAAAATATTCTATTTTGAAAGAGACAATTGTGCCCCAGTGCCTTTGCTATGCTGGAGTAGGGAAGAATAGGGAGGCAATAAGGAAGAAATGAGAGAATTAATATCCCTTGTTAGTCACAAGAGCGACTCTGAGTGAGCTTCAATTACGCGAAAACGATGAGGAATCACCACTGAAGATAAGACATATATGTTATTTACCAGCCGTGTGGTCCGTATTCGGAAAAACTGTGCCCGAAGTCTTAGATACGGTACTAAAGACAGAGGGAACAGTTTTTCCTGATATGGACCAACTTAGGCTAGTGAATAAAATATTTCTTTTCTAAAAACTTAACAATATGCTTTCCGAAAGAATCTTTAACTCAAACATGACAAATGAAAAGTAGGTAAGTAACCTTTGCCATAATTTGAACCCAGTATATTAGACTAACACAAAGCGTGATTTGACCTGCCAAATGACTGTCAAAGTCAACTGCTGAACATAGTTTCAGGGTTGATGTAATCAAAGATGACGAATTGGGTGTCAGAATGTCGTTTTTATTTACCCTAGTTTTGAGGGCAGCAAATGATCTTGCTGCTGCTATTACATATAAGTCGAAAATTAACACACAGTACAAGACCAATAATATTGATCGCTTTTATCAGGAGCTCTCACTCTGCCTGACATTACAAAAAGGCAACGAAGCAAATCGGATCTGGTATTGCAACATTGGTTACACGATGCTGTGTCTAATCTAACTAATGATTATAGAGCCATAAGTTGCAACTGAGCCAACTCAGAGAAATGTATGTATGTATTTTGTCAAAAAGTTAGAACATGTGTGCCCTTGATGTTCATCATCAATTGGTGTGTTTACTCGAAGATAATCCAAATATGGCTTCGGAAAAAGTTATCGAAAATGGCTCGACATGCGCTATTCAAAATTCTCCCCTCATTCAGATGTAAACGATACTCTTTTAACCAAAACAGTGTTATGAGTATTATTGCCCCGCCCGGTTTCTCTTAGTTTTCTCGTGGACACGATCTTTACCTGGTTTTATCCGGGTTCAGAGGTTATCTGTTGTTAAATACCAGTTATTTAGCCTAGCCACAGTTGATTCACTGTCCTGGACCCGAAAGGACCTGAACTGTTTAGTGTCGTCAACATAATAGTCCTTTGCCGTTGCGGAATCGATGGTAAATCATTGGCATAAACTATGAAGAGGTGCCTAAGGATGTTGTTCAGACGTAAACAAGAGAGAAGTCTCGGTCGAATGCCAATGGCCTTGTCGGTAAATACATTGTAAGAAACCACTCGCTGTGATCGACCTGTTCTTGGAGGCATAGCTGATGAAAGTCCGATGTCGAAAGAAAGGTAAAGTCTCGCGAAAGGTCATCCTCTCATAAATGCACAAATACCGCCGTCGATCTTTCCATGCCGCGATCCAGGCGCTATAAATCATAGCGTGGAATTTCAACCTCAACGTCCAGAACAAGCAGCCTAACCAGGTTTTCGAAGCCGTAAAGGTTTTAAAAACATTTTTTGCCTCAAAGTTTTTGATTGAGATGAAATTTCTCAGTTCCTCAGGAAAGCGCGCGTTCAAGTGAGTGATCTCTGCTCTTAGAAAATTATCGGCGAAATTGTTTAGTTGACTTCCTAACTTGTGCTAACCGTGGACCAAAGATGGCAGCTCGGCCAAGCTTCTAGCAAGATAGCCACAAGGCTTCAAAGAAATTTGAGGGATTTGGCTGAAACAGGGTTTCTAACCCAGAACTTAAGTTTTTTAGTTTAGTTTTGTCCTCTTTTGGAGAAGATAAAGCGACAAGGATAGGGAATAAAGCCGAAAAAGTCAAAGCGAATCAAGACGCGAGCGCAATTTACCTGTGTAGGTTTATATGGCCTATGATCAATCGATTGAATCACGGATTTAATCGAAGACTGAGGTATCTTATCTAGAGAGCACGAAGTAAACTCCTCGTGAAATAATATTATAGCGATCTCCAGCATTGTCGACCTGGACTCATGCAATGTCATCAGTTCATTTACTAACTATTTCAAGTCCCGGTATTTGAAAAGACTACCCAATTTGATCTGGTGACTTATACTTTACAAAAATCCTCATCACCAATGCCCTAACCTTAATGGGGGTTAATGTACATTTATCCATTGACTTGCCATAAGTGTAAAATTGCTTCACAGAGGAGATCGATGGCACTCTCGGTTGGTCAATGAGAGTTTTAGTGAAGAAATGTAAAATGGTTTCCGTGTTTACATAGCCTGATGTAAACACGCGGGAGGTTGGGAGAACACGAGATAAGCGTAGGAAACCACGACGCGAATCGGAGTGGTTTCCAGCTTATCGAGCCCTAACCTCCCAAGTGTTTACATCAGGCTATGTAAAACCGGAAACTATTTTACATTTCTTTTATAAAATAACTAATGAAAGAGGAACGAAAACCGTATTTACATATGCTCATGTAAAATGGTTTTATGGCCAATCAGAGAGCGCGTACTATTTGAATTATTTCATAAAAGGGGTTCTAAATGGAATTGATTTTATTTCGTTCTCTGCAAGATATGTTGAATTTAACAAAAGTGACTTCTATTCCTCTGTGTCACGCACAACTATAGAGCAAAATTTATCCTATTGACGCATGTTTGCTGTCTCTGACGTAAATTAGAAAGAGGTTGCCCTTGCTTAAAACACTTACCGAGGAAATTTTCTGTTGTAAAATGGAATTTGAAGTATTCCGGCTGGAAAAACTGCCGAAAAAATGAGAGGGCAAACATAAATAGGATACAAATCAACTATTTATTCTAAAGCATCTCAGCGATCCATATCCCAATCCGTTTTTGCTAAGTATCCCTTGTTCTAGATATAAAAGTTATAGTTTGAACAAGACCCAAAGGACAAGAGAGGAGGTAAGATCAAGTAACATACATTTGCATTGTTAAACAATAGCCTGAAAATTAAAATTTCCCTCAATCAATGAGTTAGCGGAATTTTTTTTTTTTTTTTACATATTTATAGCTTGTGTAGCCTACAGATGGAGATATGTCAGTCTGGTGGATCTAAACCTTGTACATTGTAAGTACTTACTTTTAATTTGACTGGATTAAGATGACGCCTTTGAAAATATTTATTATATAACCTGAGTTGTGTTACAAGGATTTCCAGCTCTGAGAAAAGCCATAACTGCACACGCGTAAAATTGAGATAATTTTTTACCTGCGTTCGATATCGGTAATCAGCTGTTGATGTAACTCGCCTTTCGCGTTATTAATGAATAGGAAAGTGTTTACCATTCTCACTCCTAGGTCTTTTGTCGAAATTTCTCGGATTATGGCTGCTAATAATACTGAAAGATTCTTATCGCTCATAGAAATTCCAAACCCCTTCACGTTTTCTTATAGTTTATGCTTCACGAGTTTAAAGAAAACTCTCATTCATAGCATCTCGCAGAAACAACCGAGGATGCGTCAATAGCTCGTTCAATAACAACTTTCTGTCCGAAACAAACCTCTCATCGGGAAACCGTTTAACATCATAGTAATCTTACATCTACGTAGGCTACACCTTTCGTCACTACCTAAAACTGAGCTACTCCGAAGGACAAAAAAAGAAATTGAAAGCAAAAACAAAATTTACACACGGATACACACAAACATTACGAGAGAAAAAGACTAGGTTGGTCTGGGTCGTTAACAAATGTCTTATGGAGTCCTGGAGAAATTTTGCTAAAATAGGGCAAGATTTTAAAGGGTTTGGCTTTCCCAAGGTATACCCTCTGAATTCAATTTTGTCGCGGGGCTGTTCGATTTTAAGGCTTTTTCCAGGAATCCATTTGCGACCTCTTTGGTATTTTCAGTTGCACCATGCAGGTTGAGAGATCTTTCATTGAGATTTTCCGTTCCAAATAAGCCTCTATATTCATCAACTGCTTCTTAAATACAAGTAAATCGTTTTCCAGTTTCCCTTTATCGCATTGCATATCTTTATCAATCTCTTTAACAGTCTTACCAAACTTTTGCGTCTTGATCTATAAGGTGCTGATTTCTGAATCTATTCTGTATACTGTCTTACTGATGTTAGCTATTTCCCATTGGATCCCATTGATTTATATCTCTAGAATGTCCACCTTTACTGTCTTTTTTGAGAATTTCTATAACCTTTCTACCAGGAGCTTCCCTGATGTTAGGAGCCTTAATTACTTCATCATTCTTAGCTCTCGATCGGTTTTCGTCAGGAGAATTTTTTCAATCTGTGGATGATGACGATGACTGTCTATTCTTTCTCATTTACATGTAAATAATTCGTTAGGTGGTGCAAAAAGCGAGAATAATGCAGGAGCTGAGCGGGTAACTTTCACTGCTCCACCACACTAGTCTCAGTCTCCTCAAATTGTACTACTTGTGTATCGTATTGAGAGTCGTCGCATTATGGACGAATTTGAACGATGCTGGGATTTCTCTATATTAGTAATCTATTAAACCAACAAGGAAACATTTTTAAAGTTTACTTTTTTTGCAGAAATGTCAAGTCAGATGTTTTGGCGGAATCATCTCGATTCTCTTCTAGCACATTCAAGGTGAAAAAAGTTTGCATGACGGAATTTTTAACCGTCACGGTAGAATGAAAGGTCGGTGGTGATTGGTTACTTCAATCTGTCGATAACGTTAATCATTTTTGAGAGGTACTGTGTGTTTGTTGTTTCAATGTCGGGTATGAGTCATTTCTATGGAGACGGGAATTAATATATTATCTCTCGAAAGGAATTTGTTCCCAGCTAATAAGACAGCAGTTTAAGATTGTTTGTTGAAAGTAGATCGTGCTGCAGGTTATCTGTAATTAACATTTCCTAGAGTCTCGTCGCTCATTTTTGCGCATTAGGGCTTTGATTAAGGCTTCTGATAGCTGTCTAGATGTATGAGATTAGGGAATCGGACTTGCCTTGATCTTCATTACTTGAAAATTAGTTACTTGTATTTACTTGACGTTTCTGCAGATGATTATTCTCATGTACTTACTGATTTTGTTGGTCACTCTGTCGTAGAAGGCATTGACCGTATGTGGGTGAATCATCCACCTAAATTAGAGTAAATTGGAGAAATTGTGACTTCATCATTAAACAGGGAATTGGCTGGAGTTTCGCATAGCGATGTGCAGGCGAGGTAGAAATTTAAAATTTTAGCTGTGATTATATATTAACGCTTGCTATGTGAAAAAGTCTTCAGCTTTCAAATCCTGGCGAAAAGAAAAATCCCGATGTATTTTCAAGTACGTTACGCAGGATCTAATAGAAAATTGTAGTCTGCGAATATTGGTCCCTTAAGGTTATCATCGAAAAATAGGGCTTTGAAAAAACTCAACGGCATCCTTATTGCATTCAATGCTATTCCTAAATTTGATCAAAATGGTAGCCCGCTACTTTGGCATAACTTCAAGATTAATGTTAATTTCTAACTGATTTATAAAGTAAATCATGATGGGCTGGAAGTACTTAAGGGCCAAACTAGGGGAGACAAGGTCACAACTTTCAAAATTAAAAGTGTAAAATGGGGCCAAATGACCAGTCATCTTCGAAAAGACGTTTTCAAGACTTTGTTTGTAATTAATGAGAAGCTAGATGAGACCAAAGCTAACAAATCGAGAAATTTGAAGTCAAGCAATCGGGCCATATACAGTTCTGCCAAAGCTGAGGCAGAGAGTCGCTAGAAAACTTAAAAAAGTCTTTCAAGCTACATTGAAAATTATTTTTATCAGGAAATAAGAGATGCTTGGGAAAAACAGTAGACATTAAGGGGAAAGTCAATAGTTAAGCCTATACCCAGAACCGTTAAAAACTTATCGGACGACTGGGAATACTTGTCAAACATAACAACCTTGACAGCTTCATATCATTTAAGGATGTTTTCTTTCCACCATATATTTTGCTCGGACAAGAGACGTTCTTTCCGAAACATTTTCCCGAATCTCCCCGAATTTTTTCTGTACGCGAATTTTTTTCCAAACTAGAGTAATGTAATTGGCCCTTACCTTTCTTTGTCTACAGCATTACGAAGATCCTTTAACATTGTCTTCATAGAAAAAGCTCGGATGCTAATCACATTGTTGAAGTAAGAGGAATTATCCATTGTTAGCTGAAACAAAACAAGAAAAAATTAATTTTGTTATTATGAAATTACTAAAAATAATCAAGTTCAATGAGGTAATCACGGTCAATTTACAGTTCCACATGTATAAAGTACTGTTAAATTTGTAATTTGTAAACAACATATCTTTATGTTTATTTAATCAAACTTTTACGGAAGTCTATGCATGTCGGGACACAGCCAATACACAAAGGTTGTATAGTATATTTGGTAGATTCAATCCATGCATGAAGGGTACAAAGTTTTTAAGGTCTCAGTTTGATGTAATCATTTTAATTATATCAAGAGACGATATCGATAATGGGGAACATAAAGCAAACATCACCAAAATCGTCCAAAATCTAATGATCAGGGGGTTGTTCAATATACTCGCATTATAACGTTTGTGTAAGCAACATTACGGTCGGTATAGTTATTACGGACCATTAACGTGACAGTCGTCGCTACCCTAAGCGTGGTATACGGTCCGTGAGTTACAATTAATTAATAGAATAGAGGAAGTTCATGCTGAAAAAGTGGCTACGTACGGTTTGCCAATTCATTAGTGGATACGTGTTTTTTTCGTTCCATATTAACTGTGTTCGTCGGAATCGACCGTAATATTCTTAAAAGGTCCGTCAAGAGCTAACTACTGTCTCTAAATTGCAGTTTTGGGAATATTTCCATGAACGCGTTTTTGTTCGTCAAACAACAAGTCCTTTTTTGTCACTCATGGATGCGAAAGAAAAAGATATGCAATCAACAAAAGGTCGAAAATTGTGTGTCAAGTGGTCTTTGCATTCTTTTGGTAACAGTTTTTCCAACAGTCAGCAGCTGAAGCGCCGACTTGTTATTTTTTTCCACGCTATTGATGCCGACGTGTGCGTATGTTTCTCATTCTGATTCAAGATGAGACCTCTCTTTCAGTGGGTCCTCTATCTTAATTCCGAGAAATTTAAGAAGCAAAAACAACGCATTCAAGTAAGAAAAAAAATTGAAAGATTTCAGTGTATTTATTAGTTTTTCTATGGGTTGTGTGGTTCTTTTCAACAAACCCCTTTTAATTCTATCTTGTCACCAGTCCATTTCACTATATAGTCGCATGAAATGCATTTCGCTGGAAGGTAAGCATTTTGTGAGTGTTTGTGTTTTACATTTTCGGGTATTATCGGCATCCTACCGCTAGCTTGATTATAACATTACGCTCGAAAAGGAAAAGATCGTTTGGAGGAAATAATAAGCTGTTACCAAAAGTAAAGACCACTGAAGCTTAAGAAATTTCTTATTCAATCTCTTTAACTACATACCCATTCATACCACCATTTTAAAGGGACTACACAGGTCACTACTAACCTAGAGGTTGGGGGGAAATCTATAATAATAAAATAATCTTGTCTGATGTTTTTGGGGTAAGCACTGGATGCACCTCTACCCCTGTTCAGCCCACATTACTCGCTCAAATGTTTTAAGAGCATGAATTTGTTGCTGGGGTTATAAAAGAATGCATATGCTGCTTCAGAGATGTGGTATAGAGAAAAGGAATATAAACCAGGCTATTTCGGAATATGATAAATGCCTGGCGTTAGACAAGGAAAAGGGCCGTTTTGAGTATCACTCGACCTTACCATATCAAGAAAAATGTGAACCACAGTCACGGTGGTATGTTCAAGACTTAAAGTATTCTTTCATTCGTATCTACAATTTGAGCTTTTTTTTTCGTCACAGGTGCCTCCTAGTGGGGTAGGAGCGGTATTTAAATCGGGGATATTTGAACGAATTTGAACACGTTGAATTGAAACACTACATTTGCTACCTGAAAAATTTGGCTGTCACACGCAACAACTAGCGATAACACTATTTCAGCCGACACTTTGAACAAACGTGAGCCAGTAATTCAAGGACAGATGGCTTAGTGATGTTCGTCAACCTGGCTGGGAAAATCTTTTTGCAGTTTCTGAATCTTTAAGGAATCTAAGGGAACCTAAATAGAAGCTGGAGAGATGATACCCGACATAAGCCTAACTACTCCACACATCTCGCATCAACTCCAATACTACAGTAGTTAGAAATAGATTTGTATGTATATACACCCATTAGCGTTACTCCTGTTTTGTCAACTGATAACAAGTAAGGTTGATTGTTTGGTTAGGAAAGGGGTAGATGCGTAGTTGTTCACATACTGACAGTGATCCAAATGAATTAATTACGTGAGACTCACCTATGCATGTAAATCGAAGTTTGACTTCATTTCCCCATTCCTTCTTACCAGCGACCAGGAAAACTGGCTAGCGTCGCGCACGCATTTTTCATATGACTCCTTCGTTTTTGAATGATGATAACGTAGAACCTCAATCACATTTCAACTTACTGGTAAGTACCATTTCGTTTTGTAAGTAACGTAAATTTTGTTGTCACGCGTAAAGAACAATGGATACTTTACATATACACTCTCAACTTGATTAGCGATTGTAGCTTTTGTAGTAATGTGTCTTTTGTCTTCATCTGTTTGTTTACTTGAATTTGTGAGTAACCCAAGCAACGGGTGCACTCCGATTGCGTTGGATTATGGTAGCGTTGTTTTCAATATGGCGGTGAAGGCGGCAGATATCGGCAGATTTTGACCGAACCTTCCGTAGAAGTTCGACCGTTCATTGTTTCTTTCACCAAAGGTGCATGAAATTTGATTGATACTGAATTTGTATAATTTTTTTTTACGTATTTATCGCGTATTCAGTGGTTCTCAAGGACAAACGCAATCACTGTTTTGTAGTATGTAACTTGAGACCGGTTTTCGAGAAGGTCTGATTTGATGTTCATCGTAGTTTGAAGCCTTTCAAACATTGGAATGGCAGCTTTGATCCTTCTTTAAAAGCCCTGACTAAATGAGAGCGCAGATTAGTAATCGAAGAAAAGGAAACAGACAATGAATCCCGTTTACATTCTACGCTACCTCGCTGCCGCCATGCACCAAAAATGTTCCCTCGATCGCGACAAAATGCAAATGACTAACCTTTTGTGTTACGACCATAATGCAACGTAATCAGAGTGTGCACACCGCCTGTGGGTAACTTGTTTAAAAACTGTGGTACGTAACATACAATTCTTGTGTCGTTTGCCTACTTAATGAGCATTCTTAGCGCTGCTTATTTGCGTGGCCTGTGGTTCTATGTTTAACGAACGAGGCATAGACTTTCTATTCTTATAAGTTCTCTGATTGGCTTGTTCTCCACATTGATACCATTTACTTTGTGGTGTTTACAAAGTGCATCAACCATGCTAAAGCCGAACACATATTAATTTGCTATTTCAATATGTCACTGACAAATGTTGACGAGCTATTCTCAGTTTTACGCTAATGAAACAAGGTGTTCACATAATTATTTGCTTGAAGTTGTCTTGTAATAGGAAAAAAAAGAACAAATGCGCACGAAACTGAACACTGCTGTTTGATGTGTCAAGAAATACACGATCCATACGCGCCGCAACCAAGGTTATCTGGAACTGACGATCCGGTCCGCAACAGTTTGACAGTGTAACCGAAGTCATGCGTAATTCTGCTCATCATTTATTAAAAAAAATCAACATCTCTAAATTACTAAACGTGAGTAGGAAAATACATGTTGAAGAACGAAAACTTACATATAAACTCACCACGAAGAAAAACATTAACCTTAAGTAGTTACAAAAAGCGGGTTCTGGAGCATCTTCAAATGCCACAAGTCACACCCCTCTTTATTTAACTGCTGTATCACAGATCAACGAATTCATTAGATAAAAACCTAGGTTTCTGACACATTTTGAATTTCACAAGCCACCTCCTGTAAAACTCAAAGTAATTAACACACGCAACTGCCACACTTGCATGCTTCTTGATAGTTTAATACGACAGGATCTGCATCGATATTGTATCTTCCTATGAAGAAGTCGTGTTGTGCCTTGATTTTTTCTTCTGTCAAAACAGTGTCTATGTAAATGAGAACAGTCTGACAGTCTGAGTTTAAACCTTCACGATAAACACCCTCATCATCATCATGTTATAAAAATTTCCCCATACAAATTGTTTATTAGAATTTACTATTTTTGCATTCAAGTCGGTAAGCTTTTTCCATTACATTGGAAAGAAGGAGCATAACTCACATCATTTCGACTTTGTCCGTTCCAATGACAGCTGACACGATTCACCAGGATTGATCAGGTCAATTGAAAAACTCATTTTAATTCATACTCTGTTAATCATCATGATCAACGAATTCCTTCGGGAGGTAGTTCAGTTCCAGCAGTAACTATCAAGAGCTCTTCTCTAACGAAACCACGCTTTGGTCCATCCTTCAGGTAATAGAGAACAGTTTCATTCTTATTCACAATTTTTCTCTCGATACCGTAGACCTTCAGAGACGACACTGGATCTGTAGTTCGCCTTTGACTACCTTCCAACTCACCAGTTGCATTGAGGAATCTCACATTCTTTGAAGAGTCTCTTTTCCTTCAAGCCAACCGGTCTTGAATAAGTAATTGAACTCTCCGCGTTAACCACCTTCTTCCGTCAACCACCTTTGATTGCGTCAACAGGATTTTCTCCCGTCAACCTGGTCACTTCTCCCATTCAGTGGATCTCTTTGATGAGGATGTGTCCCCTGATCCCTGTGAACGTTTACATTCCCTCTTCTTCTCCTCAATCAATACTTTGCCATCTCTCTTGTAACTTCAGCCATGATTTCACACCCAAAATCAACTTGAAGAACACTGGTCCATCTCAGTGGTCCTTGCCTATAAACTGTCTTAAAAGTTCTTGAGACCTCAGAGGAGTCCTTTGAGGTGAGAGGTTCAGCAGACTTGGATCTGCTTGCAACTTTTCTAAAACTTTTAATGCATACTTATAGACTTTCCTCCCTCTCGGGAGTCTTTCATGGGGAAGGAAAATGAGATCAGCTTGATGAACTACATTTGGGGATTACACATGAAAAGTAGGTCTTGGTATATGTTTCGGGGTACGCAAGTCAATCTGCCAG